GTTTCATCTGACCATATGACATTCTCCCAGTCCTCTTCTGGATCATCCAAATGCTCTCTAGCAAACGTCAGACGGGCCCGGACATGTACTGGCTTAAGCAGGGGGACGCGTCTGGCACTGCAGGATCTGAGTCCCTGACAACGTAGTGTGTTACTGATGGTAGCCTTTGTTACGTTGGTCCCAGCTCTCTGAAGGTCATTCACTAGGTCCCCCCGTGTGGTCCTGGGATTTTTGCTCACCGTTCTTGTGATCATTTTGACCCCACAGGGTGAGATCTTGCGTGGAGCCCCAGATTGAGGGAGATTATCAGTGGTCTTGTATGTCTTCCATTTTCTAATTATTGCTCCCACAGTTGATTTGTTCACACCAAGCTGCTTGCCTATTGCAGATTCAGTCTTCCCAGCCAGGTGCAGGTCTACAATTTTGTTTCTGGTGTCCTTCGACAGCTCTTTGGTCTTCACCATAGTGGAGTTTGGAGTGTGACTGTTTGAGGTTGTGGACAGGTGTCTTTTATACTGATAACAAGTTCAAACAGGTGCCATTGATACAGGTAATGAGTGTAGGACAGAGGAGCCTCTTAAAGAAGAAGGTACAGGTATGTGAGAGCCAGAAATTTTGCTTGTTTGTAGGTGACCAAATACTTATTTTCCACCATAATGTGCAAATAAATTCTTTCCAAATCAGCCAATGTGATTGTCTGGATTTTTTTTCTCATTTTGTCTCTCATAGTTGAGGTCTACCTATGATGCCAATTACAGGCCTCTCTCATCTTTTTAAGTGGGAGAACTTGCACAATTGGTGGCTGACTAAATACTTTTTTGCCCCACTGTATCTTTTGTTTCCAAGGGTGGGAGAGGTCTGAGGTGTGAATTGGTCATTACAATGTGTGACAAGCTTCCTAGGAACATCCTGTGTTCAGTGTTTTGTCCATCTGAGTACCTTGAAAACGCTTATCATGCATTTTTCATGATGAAAAAAAGCTCTGGACAGCATCAGGAACTGGAAGAGTTAAAAAAAATTGTAAACGCAATTTGCTGCGTTTAGCCGCATTTACAAGCATTTTGCCTTTGAAACGCTGGTAAAATCAACTGCTGAACGCAAGTTTTCTGCGTTCAAAAAAACAACTGTAAACTCAAATGCCTGTAAACGACTGTAAACGAAGATGTGTACATGGACACATAGGAAAACATTAGGGAGAGTTCAGGGGCTGTGGAAAAAAAAAAACCATAAAAACGCTGAACAGCTCCAAAACGTGAGTTTATCAGCTGCAGTGTACATGAGCCCTTACAGGATCAATACATAAGGATGAGCATCTTTATTTTAGTCACGTGACAGTAAATTTCAAATCTCATTGGACTTAGCTTTGTAAATTGAGCCAAATCTCTCTTCTTTTACAGGCTATTGTAGTTTTATCTTTTTTTTTCAGTGTAATGACAGGGTCACTTTAATTCCTTTTCCAGTGAGGAATGGGGGAGACCTGGCTCATGAGCACTTGCATACAACTCTATGTAGCAGCTAATCTGCGGCAATCTAGGTCAGTGTCACATCCAGGCAAGTTCACTTTGTTGAAGCTGCCAGGCGCTGTGCGGGCTACATGGCGTTAATGGGCCAGTTATTTCAGCTCGCTAAAACCAGTGCTTCTTCCTGCTATATCCGGCATCACTATTCTTACCCATACTTCCTGTTTCCTTTGTTCACATTAGGCAAATGTGGGTGAAATTTATGTCCTTGCTTTGGGCATTTTTTAAGAATAGTCTTGGTTGCCATGGAGATGGTTTCCATGGCAACCATGCCGTAAATGTCTGTGTGTACTGTACATCAGATGTCAGAAAGAGCAGCAGCGAATTACAGTGGCAGAGACGGATACCGTGCAAGTTTTTTTTAAGTTATTGAGGAATTTTTTGCTGCTGAAAATATAATAATGGCTCTAGGCCAAGTGTGTTTTCTTCCTCTGCACCGAGCCCTTTTCCCCCCGAATGGAGCTACATTGCCCTAAACAGCAAGACCATATTTTCTGAGCCTGCAGTTATTTTTCTGTGGTTTCTAAAATTCAGAAGTACCTACTTTGTTTATATTATCCTTGACTTTTTTTTTTGTATAGTAGTAGTTTTCCACTTTGTTCAGCAACATGGTCCTGGGACAGAGATTGCCAGTTAAAGGGGACATTGTTGCCCCTAAAAAACCTGGCATCCCTTGCTTCCCTAACACCTGACATCCCTTGCCGCCCCTAAAACCTGGCATCCCTTGCTGCCCCTAAAACTTGGTATCTATTGTTGCCCCTAAAACCTGGTATCTATTGTTGCCCCTAAAAATCCCTTGCTTACTTAAATCCTGGCATCCCTTGGTTCCTTAAAATCTGGCATTCCTTGCTTACTTAAATCCTGCATCCCTTGCTTACTTAAATCCTGGCATCCCTTGCTTACTTAAAACCTGGTATCCCTTGTTGCCCCTAAAACCTGGCATCCCTTGCTGCTCCTAAAACCTGGCATCCCTTGCTGCTCCTAAAACCTGGCTTCCCTTGCTGCCCCTAAAACTTGGTATCTATTGTTGCCCCTAAAAACTGGCATCCCTTGCTTACTTAAATCCTGGCATCCCTTAAAATCTGCTTCCTTGCTTACTTAAATCCTGGCAACCCTTGGTTCCTTAAAATCTGGCATTCCTTGCTTACTTAAATCCTGGCTCCCTTGGTTCCTTAAAATCTGGCATCCCTTGCTGCTCCTAAAACCTGGCATCCCTTGCTGCTCCTAAAACCTGGCTTCCCTTGCTGCCCCTAAAACTTGGTATCTATTGTTGCCCCTAAAAACTGGCATCCCTTGCTTACTTAAATCCTGGCATCCCTTACTTAAAATCTGGCATTCCTTGCTTACTTAAATCCTGGCAACCCTTGGTTCCTTAAAATCTGGCATCCCTTGCTTACTTAAATCCTGGCATCCCTTGCTTACTTAAAACCTGGTATCCCTTGTTGCCCCAAAACCTGACATCCCTTGCTGCTCCTAAAACCTGGCATCCCTTGCTGCTCCTAAAACCTGGGCTTCCCTTGCTGCCCCTAAAACTTGGTATCTATTGTTGCCCCTAAAAACTGGCATCCTTGCTTACTTAAATCCTGGCATCCCTTACTTAAAATCCATTCCTTGCTTACTTAAATCCTGGCAACCCTTGGTTCCTTAAAATCTGGCATCCCTTGCTTACTTAAATCCTGGCATCCCTTGCTTACTTAAATCCTGGCATCCCTTACTTAAAATCTGGCATCCCTTGCTTACTTAAATCCTGGCATCCCTTGCTTACTTAAATCCTGGCATCCCTTGCTTACTTAAAACCTGGCATCCCTTGCTGCTACTTAAAATCTGGCATCCCTTGCTTACTAAAACCTGGCATCCCTTGCTGCTCCTAAAACCTGGCATCCCTTGCTGCTCCTAAAACCTGGCATCCCTTGCTGCTCCTAAAACCTGGCATCCCTTGCTGCTCCTAAAACCTGGCATCCCTTGCTGCTCCTAAAACCTGGCATCCCTTGCTTCCCTAAAACCTGACATCCCTTGTTGCAACTAAAACCTGACACCCCTTGATACCCTTTTGACCCCCCCCAAAAATTTTCTTTGGTAAAAAAAATGCTAAAAAACACAAACGCGGGAAAACCCCGATAAACGCAGCAAACTGCCGCTAAATGCTAATGCAAAAATGCTAAAAAAAAGTTGAAAAACTCACATTTTTAACGTGACACAGATGTCTATGCAAATCTCAGCAAAAAAAGTACATGCACTACTTTAGAAATCTGTGCGGCTCCGACCAAGTTGCGGACAATATGGTGCGACTTGGCATACGATTTGCAAGATGCCTGGCAAACAAATTGCATGCCAAATCGCACCCGATGTGACCGGGGGTGTAGTTGAACAAGCTGAGGTTAGAAACTGATTGGCTACCATGCACTGGTGAAGGAGATTGCGAGTAAACCCGCTTTAGTAGATAAACCCAACTGTGTCAAATCATAGGCGGGTGGGGGCATGCCCAGGCGCCCTAACCCTAGGTTAACACCTATGCAGGTTGCGTTTGGTGCCTTTCTGCATTGCGTTTTGGGTTGCATTTTTACACTTATGTTTTTTTCCTCGCTTTTGATGCGTTTTGCGTTTTATTTTTTTTCATTTTTTTATTTTTTCTTGTTGCTAGGCTGATTTATAATGTAAACACATTAAAAACGTGACAAAAGCGCTGCAAAAACACAATACATGCTTTTCTGCAGCGTTCCCATTAAAGTCTATAGAACCAAAAAAAAACGCAACGTTTTGCGTTCAAAACAGTCCCAGACCCTTTCCAAAAGATGCACCTGGTGAAAACGCGGAGATGTGAACCTGTCCTATAGGAAATCATGTTAAATGGACTGTACTGCGCTTCTGCAAAACGCAGCAGAAAAACCCTTAGGTGTGAACCTTGGGTAAGCCGTACATAGGCAACAACGTACCAGTACATCACGGTGTCTGTAGCTGCTGCCCCGCCACAGTATTATTATTATACAGGATTTATATAGCGCCACCAGTTTGCTCAGCGCTTTACAATATAACGGGAGACAATACACCAACAATACAGTTCAATACAAGACGGATAGGAGGGCCTGATCCTCGGAGCTTACAATCTAGGAGGGAGGGGCTAGTGGTACAAAAGGTAATAACTGTGTGGGGATGGACTGGTAGGAGGAATAGAAGATTCTATTATTAGCTGAGGGTAGGATAGGCTTTCCTGAAGAGATAGGTTTTCAGAGATCGCCTAAAAGTGAGCAGAGTAGGCGATAGTCTGATAAATTGGGGTAGAGAGTTCCAGAGGATAGGGGAAACTCTGGAGAAGTCCTGGAGACGAGCATGGGAGGAGGAGACAAGGGAGCTAGAGAGCAGGAGGTCGTGCAAGGAGCGGAGAGTACGGTTTGGGTGATATTTGGAGACAAGATTGGTGATGCAATTTGGGGCAGTTATAAATGGCTTTATATGTTATTGTTAATGTTTTGAATTTTATCTGTTGGGCAATGGGAAGCCAGTGGAGGGATTGGCAGAGAGGGGTGGAGGACATGGAGTGGAGACCAGTGGAGGGATTGGCAGAGAGGGGTGGAGGATACTGAATGGAGGCCAGTGGAGGGATTGGCAGAGAGGGGTGGGGGACATGGAGTGGAGACCAGTGGAGGGATTGGCAGAGAGGGATGGAGGACACTGAATGGAGACCAGTGGAGGGATTGGCAGAGAGGGGTGGAGGACACTGAATGGAGACCAGTGGAGGGATTGGCAGAGAGGGGTGGAAGATATGGAACGGTTAGTAAGTTGGGTGAGTCTGGCAGCAGCATTCAGGATAGACTGAAGAGGGGATAGCCTGCAATGAGGTAGGCCGATGAGGAGGGAGTTACAATAATCAAAAAATAAAAAATTAATTATTATCGCACAGTAAATCAGCACAAGGGGCACAAATGGTGTACAAAGTGCACTAACCTATAGGAGCCAATCAGATTTTAGTTTACTGCAGCCAGGTCAGTGAAGGATGACTTCTGATTGGTTGTTTTGGGTTTCAGCTGTTTGCTCTTGGCCTTGTTAAGTGCCTGCTCTCTTCGCAGCCTTTTTCTAAACCTCAAACAGGGAGGATGAGATCACCCAGCAGGCTTGCTGTCTAATCACCGAGATAATTGGAATCTTAATGGTTCATCTTTTATATCAAGCACAATGAGGTATTACTCACATGAAGTATTTACTTCACGATTCCAATTAACTATATTGACTGCACAGGTGATAATGGCTCCTCGCCATAATGTTACAAATGACTACAGTCTCAAAGGACGCGAGGAATAAATCAGTTTAGAGTTACCCCTCTGGAGCCGCGCACAATACGCCCGTATGTTCCTACATCTGCACATGTATGCAGATAATAAGAAAATAAATATAATAATTGTAATCAGATGATCAAACGTTTGAAAATCTTCAACCTAAATTTTAGTTGAAAGGTAAAAAAAAAAACTTTCTTAAGGTGGGAATACACGATTAGAAAATCGACCGATCGGTCATCCGACGACCGAGAGGCATTCGTTCGTTGGTCGAAATCGTGGCCCACATTAACCAATCTGAAAAAATTGTTCTTCAGGCAATACATAGTGTTGACATCTTCCATACAAGTGGAAGTGATGCGGTGTGCGTGTGACCTTGTAGCCACGCCCTTCCGGCCAGAACAAGCGATATACACAACAATGACCAGCAATGAGTATAATATAGTTTATTACATGACCTTTATACATAAATAGTGATACATAAAATATAATCTGCAGAATTCTGCTTTCATCATCTCATTAGGCCAATCTACTTTTAACATTTGGATTTTTCGTTCGTGTTTACAAAGATTCCTTGGACAGAAACATCCGGGTCATCTTCTGCTTCCGCTCATGCGTGATAGCGCTTGATAGATTTTTTTTGTACGACCGTCATACCACCGCATAGAAAATTGGTCGTTCATATGCAAAACGATAAAATTTTTTCACTGTTGCAGAACCAAATTTTTTCGTTCACAATATTGTTATCTGTTAAAACATCCTGCTCATCAACGAAGAGAAAATCGTTCGATCAGTGGTTCTGGGAACTTTTTCGTACGATTTTCTTATCGTGTGTACGGGGCATTATTCCTCCCTTCCCGCTGAGTTCATCTTCTTCACAGATCCATACTTGCCTAGTACTTGCAGTCCAGTTACATCCCAAAGCAAGGATTACCTCCAGCCAGGCACCTGTGGGATCTATGGAGTTCTACTGTGCACATGTAGACAGTGGGAAGATGAGGCCTGTAGGCTGTAGGGGGCCAGGTGGTAGGGCATCCTGCAGGGAAGGAACTGTGAAAAAATCCTCAAATATACAGTAACAGAGTCTATACAGCGGCTCAGAACTGGCGGTAATACTCAGGTTACACTGGACTTGCGGAGAACAATGCACAGAGACTGACAGCGTCTGGTGCAGGGGCTGCTGGTGTACAATGAGCAATAAATAACTAGTAGTGGAAAGGTTCCCCACAACAGCTCCAATACAGTCCCTTTGCAACAAGAAAAGACTAATCATCACAAAGGGCACAGTACGGGGGCAGGGAGGCAGAAGGGCACAATACAGGGGGGAGTCAGGAGGGCACAATACTGGGATCATCAGGTTCTGTGACACTGCCCGGGCCATCCAGCTTGGTTAAAAAACGTGACTGTCCCAGAAAATCCGGGACAGTTGGCAAGTATTATGTAATGTAAGATTATCACGGGACCGCTATGCACCAGGGGCCCCTGGGCAGTGCCCAGGGGGGCCCATGCAACCCAGGGGTCGCTCCTCCTCTGGAACCTCTCCTTTAATGCAAGGCACACTCTCCTTATCCAGTGGATTCCTTCCCTGACCTCACCACACACAAAATGCTTGTCAACTGCAGTGAGCCAGTGCTTTTTATAAGCACTGGCATCATTAAAGATGGCCGCAGGGGTCATCCGGTTGGCAGGGTCCGATCGGACAGCAGCCCACACAATGACACATACGGAAGCCTAAGAAGGCCTCCTCTCCCCCGCTCTCCCTGCAGGGTAGTTGTGACAGTGCCCAGGGCTGTCTTAATGCATGGGTACCCCTTGGTACTGCTCAGGGGCCCCAGGTGCATAGGGGACCCATGATAATCTTGCATTACATTACACTTGCCAATTGTCCCGGATTTGCCGGGACAGTCACGTTTTTTTAACCAAGCTGTCCTGGGATGGCCCAGGCAGCATCCAGCAACCTGTACAGTGTCCTCATGATCCTAGTATTGTGCCCTCCTGACTACCCCTGTACTGTGCCCATCTGCCTCCCTCCCCCCATATAGTGCCCTTTGTGTTGATTAGTCTTTGATTTATAACATGTTTTCCTATTGTTTAAAATTAATTTTAGTAAAAGAACTAATAAATATATGTTTAATTCTATCAATTATTTATACTTTAATTCTTGAAAGTAGGTGTGTAAATTGGGGCACGTTGGTAGGAGCCCCAGTGCTTTACTTTGCCCAGTGGCCCATGATGCTATTAAGATAGCCCTGACAGCGCCACCTGTGTAGGGAGGTCATAACACACCTGCCTACAGGTCTGACCACTTGAATGTGTCACTCCTTCACCAGTTTGAACCAAAGCCAGCAAGGGAGCAATACATAGGTATGTTGCCTCCCTGCGTTGAATAGCGATCTTGGTGCTTGCCATTGCCAATATTCCTAGCAACAGGATTGCTAATGTGCCATGGCAAGTGTGCAGCTAAGGTGGAAGATGGCTGGGATTAAAGAAGCTCACTAGGGGGAAAGTCAAAAAAGGGAAGAAAATGTTCATTAACCCCCTGATGCCGGTGCCTCCTGGCCCTTTAAGGGGTTTGTGACACTAGGAGGCAGGATGGGGTGTAGGGTCATGTGACTGCCGTGATTGGCTTTCACAGCGGTCACATGATCGCAAAGCTCCCGATCGCAAGTGGCAATCGGGACCTTTTCGTGAAACGCCAGTAAATGTGCTGTTCACGCTCTTGGCCCATTTGTTTACATTGGGTATGCAAAAATGTGGCCTCTTGGTGTCAAGGACCAGCCACAGAGAGGCCATATATTTGCATACCTTTGTAACCACCGAGTTAAACGTTACAAGTTCTCTTACCCTTTAAAAAGCACCTTGTGCTCAGAATCTATGGAACCCTAGTTGCCCCTGTTTTGAAATACTCATTACTAACATTATTATTATTATTATCAGGCCTTTTTTTTAGCTAGAATGTGGGGGAACGCAGTTCCCGCACCTCTAGCACTGAATGTCTGTAATGTAAATGGATTCTCGGTTACGCTGGAGGATCTATTGATGCTGGCTTTTGGGAGATCTATTGTTCATGGTGGGGATCTATTTTTGCAGGGAGGCCTATTGTTGCTGTTAAGGGATATATTTTTCCAGGTAGGTCTATTGTTGCTGGTGGGGGATGTATTGTTGCTGGGGGTCTTATGTTGCTGAGGAATCAATTGTTACTGCAAGGGATCTACTGTTGAGGGGTCGGGTCTATCGTTCCTGGCTGCTGGATGGTCTATTGATGCTAGTTGTGGCAGATATGTTGTTGCTGCAGGGGGTCTAGTGTTGCTGGAGTGGTATTTTGTTGTAGGTGATCCATTGTGGCTGGGTGAATCTATTGTCACTGGGAGGGGGATCTATTGCTGCTGGCTGCAGGAGATCTATTTTACTGATTTTCTTGCCATCATTAACAATTTCCATACAAATTACTTAGCACCACAAAATGATACTTGGTTCTGTATACTCTAAAAGGGTGGTACTGGAAGATGGGTGTAGGATGGAACCAAAGAATGGTACTCGGAGGTAGGAACAGGGCAGAGGTAAGCAGTGACTGGGAAAGGGCAAGTTCCAGCAACTATTCTCTAAGAAAAAAACCCTGATTATTGTATCAATTTGTACAGGTCTTTACAATATAAAAGGAGACAGTCCCAATACAAGAGGGCGTGTGGGGGCCCTGCTCCTGAGAGCTTACAATCTAATAGAGAGGGGCACGTGGTACGAAATGAGCTGTTGGAAGAATTATAAATTCAGTTGTTAGGTGGAGGCCTGATAGAGGTCCCTGAAGAGATGAGTTTTCGGGGATTGCACAAAGTCGGAGGTAGCTGAACAGATCAAAAGAATGGGCTGAAAATCTCCTCGCATAGGTATCACACGGAGCTCTTTGCTGTGTGATTCTGTTGTGAAGCGGCACTCAGTGCAGTTATATTCCCTATGTCGGTTGTTTGCCTTACCTTGTAAAGATAGGCTCCCATGCTGTGGCTGCAGTTTGTAGTGTCATGGCTGACCTATTCCCTTATGTCCGCTATGTCCACGTATGCTTTCACCTAGCTTGTCCCTATTCACTAAAGGAACAAGCAACTTCTTGTAGTGGATCACACATCGCCCAATCCATGCCGTCTTTTTTTTTTTTTTTTTTTGTAAATTTAAATCTTTTATTAAACTTTTTTCCATTACAAAATGGAAAATCCAACCTCCCCACTCCCCCCCCCCCTTCACCCAAACCCCCTTACAATTTACCCCGCTCCATATAGCTCTTCCCTTCTGTTTCCAACTTTCCATTCTATACCTATGATCTTTCTCCTCAGTCACTTCCGACTCTTCCTTTTTCTTACTATTCTTTCTTTCCCTCAACCTTTCTTTTCCCTTCTCCTATTCCTGCTACTGCCTTGCAAAACATTGTCTTTAGTCTACCTCCAATCAGATTCCTGGGCCTCCCACTACTTCCATATATTTTCCAGATGCCTTGAAGTCAGACGATCTGCCCCATTCCTTTCTAAATTTACCCATATTACCTTTGTCTGTACGGTATAACTCCTTCGTCTTATTTATATATTCCACCCTGTCTAACCAGTC